GGGTGCTGGGCCTGAGGGTGCTACTGCGGTGGGTGCGGAGCCTGGGGGTGCTGAGCCGGGGGGTGCTGTGCCTGGAGCTGCTGAGCCTGGGGGTGCTGAGCTGGGAGCTGCTGAGCCTGGGGGTGCTGCGTCTGGAGCTGCTGAGCCTGGGGTTTCTCCTGCTGCTGCGTCTCGCCGGGAGCCCCTCTCTCCACAGGAGCTGCGCGAGTGGTTCGCTCGCCGCTGGAGGCGTGCTGCTGAGTCTGGAGGTGCTGCTGGAGCTGGAGCTGGAGCTTCTTCGATTGTCGAGGGTGCGGGTGCTGCCGGTCCCGGAGCTGCTGGACCTGCGGGTCCTCCTGGAGCTGGAGCTGCTGAGGGCGTTCGTGCTGGGCCTGCTGCTGTTGGTCCTGCCGCTGGAGGTGTGGGTGGCGCTGGTGCTGTCGCTGAGGGTGCTGGTGCTGTCCCTGCTGAGACTGGAGCTGCCGCACGGCCTCGGCCGTACTTCGTTCCGCTCCTTCAGCAGGTTCTTGGTCTTTCTCCTCCAGTAGAGGGTCCACCGCCTGTCCAGTCGCAGTCCCTACTGGAGCCTTCCTCTCCACTGCCTGCTCCCTCTCCTTACACTGGTCCTACTGGAGGTCTTGCTGAGCGTCGTGAGCCTGCGTCTCGCCCCGCGTCGCCTGTTCGTGCTGCTCGCGCTAGTGGTCGCGGTTCGCGTCAGCGTCCTCCTCCTGTCCCTGGCACGCACCGGATGTCTCTGCGTCCGTCCACTGCTCCTCTGCGTGCCCCTTTGCCTTCTCCTCCTGAGTCCTCTCTTCCTGCGCTTGCCGACCCTGAGTCGGACTCTCTTCGCGCTGCCAGTCCTACTGTCACGCGTCTGCTTGCTACTGTCGTCACTGACCCCTCTTTTGAGTCCACTGCTGCGTCTGCTCTAGTCGCTGAGCTCGTCGACTTTGCTGCTCGCTGTCGTCTCGACTACGCTGCTAGTCTTGTTGCTGAGTCTGCGTCTGTCTGTCCTCCGTCCGTCGGGGGTGAGTGTGCTCTTGGCACGGACGTCCTAGAGGACAGGCAGGAGGAGTTACAGTGTCTAGCGGCTGCTTCACCTCATCTCGCGTCTGTACTGCTTGCCCCTGAGGGAGACCCGGATGCACTAGACATCCCGACTCCGCGTTCTTACGCGGAGGCCGTAGAGGGCCCCTACTCCTCTCAGTGGCAGGCAGCCATGGATGCAGAGATGGCTTCCTGGAAGTCCACAGGCACCTACGTTGACGCTGTTCCCCCTCCTGGGGCGAACATCGTCAGTGGCATGTGGATCTTCAGGGTGAAGCGGCCGCCGGGCTCTCCACCTGTCTTCAAGGCACGGTACGTTGCTCGTGGCTTCAGTCAGCGGCAGGGATTTGACTACTTTCAGACCTTCTCTCCCACCCCGAAGATGACTACTCTTCGGGTGCTGCTGCACATAGCCGCTCAGCGCGACTACGAGCTTCACTCTCTCGACTTCAGCACTGCGTTCTTGCAGAGTAGCCTGCACGAGGAGATCTGGCTTCGCCGTCCACCTGGCTTCACTGGGACTTTCCCTCCTGGCACCCAGTGGAGCCTCAGACGGCCAGTCTACGGTCTCCGCCAGGCACCGCGTGAGTGGCACGACACACTGAGGACTACGCTTGCGGCTCTTGGGTTTGCTCCTTCTACTGCTGACCCGTCGCTGTTTCTTCGCACCGACACTTCCCTGCCGCCGTTCTACATCCTCGTGTACGTCGACGACTTGGTCTTTGCCACAGCGGACACTGCTGGACTCGCCTACGTGAAGTCCGAGCTGCTGAAGAGACACACGTGCACAGACCTGGGTGAACTGCGCAGCTACCTTGGCTTGCAGATCACTCGGGACAGAGCACGCCGCACCATTACCTTGACTCAGTCACACATGGTGCAGCAGGTCCTTCAGCGCTTCGGCTTCACGTACTCCTCGCCTCAGGCCACTCCTCTGCCTACTCGCCACTCACTCTCAGCTCTGCCTTCGGATGAGTCCATAGAGTCGAGTGGTCCGTATGCAGAGCTTGTTGGCTGCCTCATGTACCTGATGACCTGCACACGACCTGACCTTGCATACCCTCTGAGCATTCTTGCACGCTATGTTGCTCCTGGGAGACACAGACCGGAGCACATGGCTGCAGCGAAGAGGGTATTGCGCTACCTGTGCAGTACGTCAGGCATGGGGCTAGTGCTTGGAGGGCGGAGTCCAGTGGTCCTTACCAGCCACGCGGACGCTTCTTGGGCCGACGACCAGGCTACGCAGCGGTCGTCACAGGGTTACACCTTCAGCCTTGGTTCCGGCTCTGTCTCGTGGCGGTCTACTCGCTCGTCTTCGGTTCTCGGCTCCAGTTGTGAGGCTGAGATCTACGCCGGAGCCATGGCTGCACAGGAGCTTCGCTGGCTCACCTACCTGCTGACTGACCTTGGAGAGCCGCCTCGTTCTCCTCCAGTGCTGTACGTAGACAACAAGGCTATGCTGGCCTTGTGTCGAGAGCAGCGCTTGGAGCACAGAACGAAGCACATTGCTCTCCGCTACTTCCTTGCTCGTGAGTTGCAGCAGCGTGGTCAGTTGCGACTTGCGTACGTGGCCTCTGAGGCCAACACTGCTGATGTGTTCACCAAGGCACTTGCGCCTTGTGACCATCAGCGCTTCTGCACCCAGCTTGGTCTTGTGCCTGTCTTGCCTCACTTGCTCTCCTCTTGACTTTACTTGTACTGTGACATATATATATACCTGCTCTTGCTTGTCTAGTTTTATATATATATGTCTGTACTCTTGCTTGTGAACTGGCCTTTGGCCTTGCTCTTGTGCTCGGATTGTGTGGTGACTTTGTGATCCACCCTGAGCTTTGCTTTGTCTTGCTTGACTGGTCTTGTGACCCCTTGTTCTCCCCCACTTTGCCTATGGGGGTGTGTCAGAACATGTCTATAGCTTATACTGCTGTGTAGGCTGTAGTGGGGTATCCCATAGGGGGTACAACCCAGTTAGGGTTTCACATTTGTACTGCTTTCACTCATAGTTCACCTCATTCCTGCTTACTCATTTCACAATCCGTCACTGCTGTCACGTTCGATGGTTCTAGACAAAACTGTGCGGTGAGAAACCAAACCGCAACAGTTTTTGCATGAAAATCATGCACGATCCCACTTGTTGCATGGTCAGTTGAATTCGTCTTATTGCAGGCTTCAAATAGGTATGTTTATAAGTGTTTTTTTTCTTTCTATTTCCAGGCGCATGCGCTTATAAAATCGACTCATTTAGAAGCGCACCCCCCCAAAAATACACTGTTTTTTTATAAGCATTCCTGCGCTTATATCCTGGGTAATACGGTAGTACCACTACCTAAATGCATTTCATGCTTGTGGCTTTTGTTGACTGGTCTTATGACCACCTGCCTCAGTTATTGGATTAGTTTATCCACCCTGAGTCGTCGTTTGTCTTTCTTATGTGATGAGGGGTTTGTCTGATTATAAACATATGTGCATGTTAGGTTCTTTGGCTACAATGAGGCGCTTCTTAGAGGGTTCAACCCTTACAGCTCGGAGCTCCGTCATTCCACTCCCAAAACTAGTGCAATCCACGTCGCGCCTAGGAGAGCGTCTTCGGAACGGGGCGCCCGCGGTTTTTAAAGCGTGCAGGCGCGGCAGCATTGATGACGCGGCAGCTGGCGGGTCCGACGGGCGGCGGCACGGCGGCGATCGTGGTGGGAACGGCTCTGGGCGGGCTGGTTGGCTTCTACGTCATGCACCACGCCGAGCTGCGCTACAAGGCCCGTGCTCACCGCTCGCCCCCGCTCCCCTACCATTCGCTTACCGTTACTCGCCTGTTGGAGCATCATTTCGAGTGTTCATCAGTCCCTCCTATGAGCTTCCCTCTCCCCCAGTTCCCCGCCCCTCGCCCGCATCACTGTTTGCCTTCCTCCCGGCCTTAACTCACCCTCGCCAGCTCTACCTCCTTGACTCCTCGTTCTTCGTGCCTTCCTTCGCCTCGTTCCCCCACTCTCTCCCGTCTGCCGTCTCCCTATCCGACCGCGCCCAGCGGACCTTCGTGTGCATGCTAGTGTGAAGGGGATGGGCGAGCGACACAGGGGAGCGGTAGTTAGCGATGCAGGTGGAGGAGGGGTGCTGTAGGGGCGCGTGGCGCCACAAGGCGGCCGTGGACGCGCGTGACGGCAGGCAGCGCCGTTTGGCGATTTGATCAGCGTTGTGTGGGTGAGGGCGTGTGGGTGAGGCAGTGTGGCCTCAACGGCACTCATCCCTATCCCACTCCCCCCTGTGCTTGCTCCTCCCACCCACCAGGAGCGATTGCGGCAGGACATGGCGCGACTGGCAGCACGGGACGCGGGGGAGGAAGCATCGGCACACAGGGAAAGAGACGAGGGAGCGCCGCTGCACAGCCCAGAGAGAAGCTCGCTCTGACCTCGCTCACGTGTGCCCCCCCACACGCATGTGAACCCGCCTGTTCCCTTGCTGCTTCCATGGGGCATGGCTGGTGGTGCGGCATTGGCCTCACGCGCACCACATCACGGAGCACACAAGAGCTGCTCGCTGCGGCCCAGGCGGGCGAGCACACGACGAGAGGGCTGAATGCGCAGTGCCTAGGGTGCTTGCGCATTGGTGGCATGTGTTGTGGCTCTAGATGTGGGAGATGGTATGACTGACTGTAGTTGTAGCTGACATTCTTCCTCTTCTTGCATCAGGGTTGACAAACCGCATGTGTAGTGTAGCACTGTAGCCCACGTCAGGTGCAACCCGTGGCCGTGAGCTACTGGAATGGCAAGCGCAATGAGTAGACGGACCTCGTGAACACTTGTCGTGCTTGTATCATATGCATGCCTGCCTGCTATTCGTTCTAGTCTATTACACAAGCTCTGAATAAAATGCAGCTGAAGCGAGCTTAATTCTGTTGTGCCATGCATGCAATGGATGGAGGCCTGTGAGAAAGCGGAGCATTTACAGCAACGGCGGCAGGAGCAGCAGGGGGGTGTGCACTACTGGGAGCGATGAGCGAGTCCCAGCACGGCATCAAGGCCAGTAGTGCGCACCCCAATGCCCTCACCTCCTCCCCCTCCCGCCCCCCCACTTGACACCCCTATACCACCGGGCACCTCTGCCCTTGCCTGCATGGCCTGCTGCCCCCCTGCACCTGGGGAGAGAGGTGTGCCCGGCACAGCGGGTACAGGAGCAGGCACAGGCGCGGGCGCAGGGGCAGGAACAGCGGCAGGGGCAGGGGTAGAGGCAGGGGCAGGGGCAAGGGAAGGGGTAGGGGCAGGGGCAGGGGCAGGGGTAGGGGCAGGAGCAGGGGCAGGGGCAGGGGTAGGGGCAGGGGTAGGGGCAGGGGTAGGGGCAGGGGTAGGGGCAGGGGTAGGGGCAGGGGTAGGGGCAGGGGTAGGGGCAGGGGTAGGGGGGGCAGGGGCTGTAGGTGGGGTAGGGGCAGAAGGAGGGGATGGGGCAGGTGCAGCAGGAGAAAGAGGAGGCGACGGGCAGGAGTGGAGAGGGGGGGAAGTGGTGACATGAGGGTGGGTGTGAGAGGATTCGAGTGGAGTGGGCTCTACTGACATGGCTGTTCCGCCATTCCTTTGCTCCTCCTCTCGCTGCGCTGGCTGCTGCGTCTCTTTGGGAGCAGCAACATCAGCGTGGCAGCCCCCATTGCCCCTTGGCACAGCAGCAGTTCCTTCCCCAGCATTGCAGGCATTTAGGGAGGCATCCTCGGGGGGGGCAGCAGCAGGGGGCACAGTGGCAACGCCATGCGCACTGCAATCCAGATAGGCGGGAGTGGCCGGTGCAAGGGGGATGGCACACAGAGCAGGGGGGGAGGCAGGCGTGGGAGCAGCAGGAGCAGAAGAAGTAGCAGGGGTAGCAGGAGCAGCAGGAGCAACAGGAGATGGAGCAGCAGGAGCAGAGGGAACAGCAGGAGAGGGAACAGCAGGAGCAGGAGGGGGGAGTGAAGGTGCGTGTGGCATGGCAGTGGCATCCCTGACAACCCCATTCAGCATGCCAGGCACCAACCCGCCGTTGCTCGTCTCTGCCCTCCGCCCATGAGCACCCACACACGATGCCCTGCTGCTTCCACCCTCTGCCCCATCCCGCCCTCCCTTGCCATCCACACCACATGCCGGCATACCCACGTGCTCCTCACTGCTGCTTCGCGTCTCCACGTTCTCCTTCCCCTCTCCTTGTCTACTCCCCTTTCCATTTACATCACGCACATCCGCCGTACACAGATGTCTCTCCTCCACCAGCCTACCCTGCCCTCCCACCACCTCATCTACCTCCCCCTCGCTAGCGTTCCCCCGTCTCTCGGTCGTTTGCTCGCCGCTGTCACCAGCTGCCACCCCGTCTGCCTCACGCGGCTGCACCTGTGTGCCATCCCGCCCTTCAAGCCCCTCACCGCCACCAGCGCCCTCCCCTGAGGTTTCCACTGTGTCTCTTCCACCCCTCCCACCACTGCCACCTGTTGCTTCACAGGCCTCACCCTCCCCACTGTCTTCCCCTGCCTGCCTGTGCCCTCCCTGGTTCTGCTGCAATGTGCTGTCATGCGCCCCCTCTGCATGCTGCGACATGTCTCGCACCACCGCACTCTCACACCGCCTGCCCTCTCTCCCACGCTCTGCATGGGCATCATCACATGCTGCCGCCATGCTTGCCCCTCCACGTGCTTTCTCTCCACACGCATCCCCTCCTCTTCCCCCCGCACACTCACCATCTGGTTGCACGGCCACTGCCACCACACCGTCACACTCAACACGCATGTCACCCACTGCCTGTGCCCCTGCCTCCTCGCCACTGCCACTCACCATCCCATCCGCCCGCCCGTTCACGCTCTCACCCGCGCCTGCCATCTCGACTGCCAGCACTGCACCCGCCCTGCTTGCCCACCGTGTGTTGCCCTCGCCACCATGCCCATGTGCTTCACGCCCTCCCACATGTGCCTCTGCCACCTGCCTCGACCGCCTGCCTGCTGCAGCCATGCACCTCCCTGCATGCACCCCTACCACATCGTTTCCGCCCTCCACCCCGCCACTCCCACCCACCTCACCCCCGCCCTCCTCTCCACCGCTGCCCGCGGTTGTTGCTACAGCCTCGCCAGCCACAGCCGTCACGCCCTGCACCTCCATCTGCACCTGCATGGCCTGCCCTAACCGCTGCCCCTCCTGCATCAATTCCTCTGCCTTCACCCGTCTCTCCACATCCCCACCCACTGACATGCTCCTCTCTGCGTCTCTCTCTCCCACCTCCTCGCCTTGCTCTCCGCCCGTCCTCATGCCCCTTACCAGCACCTCGCCAGCCCCATCACGGCGCGGCCCCCCATTCCCTTTTCCCTCGCCGTGACAACCCTCGTCGTCACCCGTGGCATGCGCCGTCCCCTCGCTGCTGCAGTCCGCTGGCAGCTCTCCTCTCATGCCACGCACGCCCCTCTCGCTGCCCTGCACCTCCTCCTCCTCCCCATCTGCCCCTCCCAGGCGGGCATCATCCGCCCACCGCACCTGCATCTCGCCCTGCAGCAGCCCCCCCGCCACCACATCGCCCATGCCACACTCCCCCTCTCTTCCCACACCCCGCCCCTCCACGTCCCCGTCCCACGTCCCCCCTGCGTGCGCCACACGCCGGCGCTTGCCCCTGCCCTGCCTGCCATGGGCGTTGCTCTGCCCTGCTGCCCCGCCCTCCTCCTCGCTCGCCCTCTTCCCTGCGCCACTGCTCCGCGCCTGCCCTGCACCTTCTCCTCCTGCTGCCCCTCTCTCTTCTGCGTCCGCACTGCACACAAACACACAGCTGCCGCCCGCCATAGCCCCTGCAACCCCATGCGCCTCCCCCTCTGCTCTGCTCATTCCTGCATGACTGCTGCGCCCCGGCCCTGCTTCCTCCCTCTCACGCGCATACCTGCCTGCACTCGCTGCACCCATCTCAATTTCTCTTCCTGCTGACTGCACCTCCCCCGCCATCCCCACACCTCCGCCTCGCCTCTCCGCCGCGCTGCCACTTCCCTCACCACCATCTCGCTTCTCATCATCTCCCAATCCATCTCTACTCGTCCCCTCACACTCTTCTTCCCCCCGCCGCCACCGTGACCCACCATCGCCCCTCACTGGATCCCCTGCATCGGCTGCACCTGCTCCTTCCCGCTGCCGATCACCTGCGCAATCACCTGCAGCGTCACCCACATGCGTCCCTTGCCCCGCATCACCCCCACTGCCTCCCTTTCCCCCCCGCAACTGCCCAGCCTTACCACCCTCCGCCCTTGGCCTCTCAACCCCTCCAGAGCCCACTCTCTGCTCGCCTCTCCGCCACGCCTCCTCCCCCACCCCTCTCGTCGGTTCCTCTAGACTATCACAGCCATGCGTCCTCCCACCACCCGCCGACTCCACTGCTCCCCCTGCACCAATGTCACCATTGCCGTGTGGGCCGCTCATCACTGCCCCCTGCGCACCACGCACAGCCGCCATGAGCCGCTGCATCACCGCCTGCTGCTCTCTCTCTATGTGCCTCCACGCTCGCACCAGCGCCCCCCCTCCCTCCTCCACTGCCTCGCCCTGCACCGTGTCTGTCAGTGCTCTTTCCCACCCATCAGTCTGCGCCCCTCCACACGCCTTTTCCCCGCCTGCCCCTTGAGCCACTTCCCCCACCAACTGCTGACGCCCGTCTTCGCCATCCCCACTCCCCCTGCTGCTCAACCTGCCAACGCCCCACGACGCCACACCTGCAGCCGCCATCTGCTCCTGCTGCTCGCCCTGCCCTCCTGCCGTTGCCCTGCCTCCGTGCTCCCCATGAATCAGCCCCCTCTTTATCGTCACCCCCGCTCCACCCGCCTGCTCGATGACGTCACCGCACTGTCTGTGCAGGCGGTGCAGCTGGTTGAGCAGTTGTAGCATGAGCTGCACGCACAGGGTGGCACGGAGCATGGCGAGGCAACACGGTGTAGCAAAGGGGTCGATGGATGGGCACACGAGAGGACGTCATAAGTACAGGGCGCACAGAGGAAGAGATAGGTGGGCCAAGGCACGACATGCAGGCAACTGTGGAAGCGGAAAGGTTGGTGATGGTGTGTGCGGTGGAAGAGAACAGCTTACATACATATGCGCACTGGCAACCTTAAGCAAGGTGAGGTGCAGGGTGAGGCAGCAGGTGGGTGAGGCACAGTGGCGGCAGGCAAGGCAAGGGCCGCAGTGCATGTAGGGCAGGACTCACTGGGAGTTGGAGGGCCGCACCAGTGGGCCGTGCGTGCTTCCCCACTGCTGCTTGCCGTACGCCAGTGCCCCTGCCATGGCGCCAGCACACATCACGTTGGGGTTGAGGGCGCATGTGGACACGGGTTGACTTGAGCAGTGGACGAGAGGTGGTGCGCAGCACAAGGTGCGCCACGCATGAGCGCGCTGCAAGGCGAGCGCGCGAGTTCAGCAGTGGGGAGTACACGCAGGGCGAGAGGGAATGCAGTGAGAGCACGCGTGTGTGCATGCCCTGCATGGCAGTGTTCCCCCCATGCTGTAACCCTCCCTGCCACCTCCACGCTTGTCCCACCCTGCTCGCCTACATTCCCGCCCGCACTGCTCACCCGTGCTCCTTGCCCTGCATCTGCCGCCTCGCCCCTTCTCCCCGCCTGCAAACCTCTCCAACCCCTGCTACTAAAGTTGCCACCCACCCCTGCTGCTGCTGTGCGCCCCCCTCCGCCCCCCCATCCTCCGCGTGGCCAGCCATGTGCGCCACCTCGTCCTCCTCATCCACACGCCGCTCTTCCTCGCCCTTCTCCCTCTCCTCTTCCTCCTCCTCCTCCTCCTCCTCCTCCTCCTCCTCCTCCTCCTCCTCCTCCGCCTGTTCTCGCAGCCTCTGCTGCTGGCAGTACACAGCAACTTCTGGGAAGATGCGCTCCTCAATGTCCGCCAGCTGCCGGTCGTACCTGCAGGCGCGGCATGGCATGGCATGGCATGGCGGGTGGGGAGATGCCATGGGGGCGATGGGTGGATCAAGAGGAGTGGATGGAGTGAGGGGAGGCACTTCGTTCAGATGCAACAGCGAACTCCGAGCGAGTAACACCAAAGCAAACCACATCTCTTCTCATGATGAACCAAGTAACGAGGTTGCAGAGCGAATTGACAAGGAGGGGGATATTCAGTGGGGAGTGGTGCAGGAGAAGCCAGGCGCGTGCGGCAAGGGTGCGTCAGCAGTCACATGGCAGCGCATGCGCGCACCAAATGGCTGACGTTTGTGACGCGCATTGAGGGCACGGGACAGGTAATTGGAAAGAGGGGGGGGGGATGTGGGCGATGGGGGAGGGACTAAGGGGGGAGCGAGTGAGGCGGGGGGGGGGAGGGGGAGCAAGAGAGCGGCACCTGAGGGCGTGCAGGGGTTGATGGCCGAGGCTGACGTGGCATTCGGGGCAGCAGTTATCCCTGCCGTCCTCCAGCGCGCCCTCTATGCACTCGCGGCAGACTGGCAAGCCCTCGCACACCATGCGCGCGCCACGCGGAGGGGGGCCGGAGGTGGGCGGGGTGGGGAAACAGATGGGGGTTTGGGTTGGAAGGGAGAACAGGGGCAGAGAGGGGAAGCGAGGCAGGGGTAAGGGGCGTGGTTTGCTGCAAGGGCAGGGGTGGAAGGGAAACGTGTGACGGGTGAGTGCACGGAGGTGGTGCTGGCGGATCGCCTTGCGCAGCGGGGTGCGGGCGAGGGAGGAAGGGGGAGTGAGCATGGGAAAGCCAGGCAGAGGGGCCGCGATGAAACGCCGCCAGGGATTGCGGGGTGCGCGGAGGCAGGTGAGCGGCGTGGGGAGGAGCGGGCGGGAGGCGGGGTTGGCGCGTACAGGTGTGGAGGCACTCCATGACGGTGGTGGCGTGGCGGCACAGCTGCCCGCACACCGGACACTTGAGGCACCGCCACAGCGCCGCGCGCGGCACGCGAATCACCTGGTCGCCCATTCGCCTCGCCGCACGCCCTCGCTGCTCGCTCTGCCTCCCTCTGCTCTCGCCTACGCTACCCCGCAACCAGTACTAACACGCCCGACGCGCTCACGCGAGGCTGGCTCGAGAGTGGCAGCGGCGGAAGAGGCGGGTTGAGGTGCTTAGCGCGCGAGGCGCGAGTGGATGGAGGTGGCTGTGGTGGACGCCGACACACAGCGCGCTAAGTATGGCGCCTCCTGATGCGCCATCCACCACCTCGCCTGGCCTCGGTGTAACCTGTGGAGGGGATATCACTACAGCGGTCCTGGTGAGAAAAGTTGCCGCCTGCCGTGACGCATCCTTGCCACCGCTAGTCCCGACAACAGCTGGTAGAGGTTGGTGAAATTTCTTGAGGACTGTTAAGTTTACGTTATACTCCATTTTGAATGAAACAAAATGTCAAAACATGTGTTCATGTTTAATTGGGCTATATAGGGGCTAGCATTAGGGGGTACACAAACTCTCTCGACACCTTGTTTGTATCCGCCCTTCCCTGACCTAGTCATCATTCCTCATAGTTCTAACATGGTATCAGAGCATTTAGTTCTTAGGACTGCAATCACCGTTTTTCTTTTTTTCGGGCCCACCAGTTCTTTCTGCCATGTCCTGCCCGATCTCGGCCCCCTTCCCGCGAGAAAGCGGTCGCGGACAGCACGAAGGGAGTCAGGGAGGCGGGCCGTGAGGAAGTTAAGGGTGAGATACATAAGGGGCTTGTTCTCAGCCAGAAAGTCGGGCTCGAGAGCGGCTTGGTAGCGGGTGTGAAGGGAGCGCAGGGGAGTCAGGAGGTCAACTACATTGGTGAAGTCTGACAACTCAGGAAAGAGGCACGGCAGTGCCTGACGGCCTACAGTGGCAGAAGACGGGGAGGAGTAGCGCTTGACTACATCGTCATAAAGTGCCATCTTAAGCTGGCGAAAATGGGAGCGCTGGTCTAGCGGAAGGTGACTACGGACAGAAAGAGCGGCAGTAGCGTCACGAGAAGTCCAGTGGGACCGGGCTACGCGGTCAGGAGAGGCAGCAAGGGCATGGAGGGACCCCGAGGGATGCTTAAAGAGAGAGACATCCTCCCTAGTAACGCTCTGCAGGTACCGGTGGAGATCCTCTAGCCAGGACTCAAAATCTATCGGGTGGCCCTCGGCGTCAAAGGTGAACATAGTGGGAGTCGCCATAGCAGCAGTCATTGCAGTAGTAGCGGTAGATAGGGCAGTAGCAGCAACAACAAAGGAGGCAGCCGCAACGGCTATAGAAGTAGCAGCGGCTGCAGCAGCACGGGCAGCAACAGTAGCAGCAGGAGCTGTAGCAGCAGCAGCACTCGGGGAAGGGAGGCGCTAGCACGGGACAGGGCAGCGCACGCGGGTGGCAGCAGCACCTAGGGTGGTAGCGGTAGTGGGCGGCAGCACCCAGGGCGGCAGCACCTAGGGCGGCAACAGCAGGCGGCATCACCTAGGGCAGCAGCACCTAGGGCGGCAGCAGCACGAGCAGCAGGTGCAAGCAGCTGTGCAGAAGCGCAAGCAGGGCTGGGCGGGGCAGAGCGTGACAATGCAGCATGCAGGGCAACGTGCTCAGCAACGGGCAGCGGGCAGCGCGCAACAGCAGGGGCGCGAGCTGGCGGCACAGGCAGCGCAGCGGGGGCGCAAGCTGGCGGTGCAGGCAGCGTAGCATAAGGCAGGGAGCGAGCTGCGTAGGGCAGGGCGCGTGCGGCTAGCTTCGGGGCAGGGCGAAGCGCGCGCGAGGCAGCGTGTGGGCAGCGTGGGCAGGCGCGGGCTGCGATTTGCGGGCGACAGAAATGGCTGCAGCGGGCGCTGTAGCAGTTGGGGGCGCAGGGCAACGTGGGTTGCGGGCAGCGGGGTGCTGTTACTACTGGAGCTGGATGCCCTGGTGCTGGAGGTATTGGTGCTGGAGGTACTGGTGCTGGAGGTTCTCATCATGGCGGTGGAGGTTCTAGGGGTGCGACTACTCAGCAGCAGCCGTCTGCGCTTCGCCACCTGCTCGGCCTCCTGCCTGCTGTTAATGAGTTCCCTGTTGCTGGTACTACTCCTCCGTTACTGTTCCCGCCGACTGACCAGTCTCAGAGACAGTTACTGCCAGACTCCTCGCTGCCTTCTCTTGCTCCTTACACTGAGGTGACAGAGTCCCTGACTGAGAGTAGAGAGCATGCATCGCATCCTGTCACGCCTGTTCGTACTCGTCATGATGCCCGTCATCATCCTCCACCTTTCCCAGGCACTCACACTATGGCACTCCATCCTTCCTCTGTTCCACAGCGTGTTGTCCTGCCGTCGCCTCCTACGTCTTCTCTTCCTAACGTTCTTGACCACGAGTCTAACCTTGTTCGTGCTGTCAGTCCGACTGTCACTAGTCTTCTTGCCACGGCTGTGACTGACCCTACGCTTTCGTCTCCAGCTGCGTCTACCTTAGTCGCTTAGCTCGTTGACTTTGCTGCTTTGTGCCCCCTTAACTACACTACGAGTCTTCTTTTTGACTATGACTATCCTCCGTTCATTAGGGGTGAGCTTGCCCTTGGCTGCGACGTCCTTGAGGACAGACAGTTTGAGCTGGAGTGCCTAGTGGCTGCTGCACCTCATCTCGCTACCATGCTACTTTGCCCTGAGGGAGACCCGAATGCGCTGGACATCCCGACCCCGTACTCTTATGCAGAGGCAATCATGGGTCCGTACTCCTCTTAGTGTCAAATAGCCATGGATGCAGAGATGGCTTCTTGGAAGTCCACAAGCATATACGTCGACGCAGTACCCCCACCTTGGGCGAACATAGTCGATGGCATGTGAATTTTCAGGGTGAAGTGTTTGCCGGATTCTCCGCCTGCCTTTAAGGCACGTTACGTTGCACGAGGCTTCAGCCAGCATGAAGGGGTCGACTTCTTCCAGACCTTCTCGCCCACCCCGGAGATGACCACTCTTCGGGTGCTACTACATATTGCAGCACAGCGTGACTACGAGCTGCACTACCTAGACTTCTCGACAACCTTCGTACATGGCAGCCTTTCTGGCTGCGCCGCCCTCGTGTCTTCACTAGGTCGTTCCTGAGGGTACCCAGTGGAGCCTTCGGCGGCCTGTCTATGGTCTGCGCCAGGCTCCCCTGTAGAATTCCACTACTATAGCAGCTTGATAGGGCTTGAACGTGCAATTTCAACGCACCAAAGATTGCAGGAAATGGTCCACTATAGCCAGAGTTACTCAAAAGCATAACAGTGATAATAATTCTGTTGATTTCTGGTTTGTGCTCTCTTGTTATATACTAGGATGGAATACAAAAACAAAGCACACAAGAAAGTGTCGACCCGGGTCGCACGTTGAATTTCGTCAACGCAAAATTCCGAGCCTTGAATTTCGCCGAGCGAATAACCATGGACTGGAATACCATAGATAAAAAGTTTTGCGACCAGAATTCCGTCGACCACCGACTGTAACTCCCTTGTAAATTCCGTTGACTTCGACACTTCGCTGCCCAGTTTCAAACGAACGCGACCCTAGATCGATTTCGTCAAACTGTCCCCAATCTGTCCCCAACCTGTCTCCAAGCTGTCCTGACAAGACACTTTCGGAACACTTGAATCGAAAGTTATCGAGTTCAAACTCGCGTGCACCATAAGCAGCGCCTCACCAGAAATTGTTTTGAATCGGTCTTAAAGCTGCGGTCTACATACTTCGAGCGAAAGGCAAAGGTTTATCACATGAAAACAGGGTAACCCTGCCTCCACAAGTGCCCCTCTGCGGAGTAAACGAACAGTGGAAGAAGATGGAGGGCGGGGGGTGGGGGTTCAAAAACCAACGGCGGAAACACTCCGCTTTCGCCAGTTTAGAACTTGACCCACTTCGACTGAGTTTGTATACCAAAACTCTCACGCCAATGAGAGCCCAAGTTCATTCCATCTACTCTCACGTAATCCTACCAACGCAGAGATAGGAGTAGCTCATAACAACCTGTGCCGTCCAGCTCCACCAGTGCGTTCTAGCGACACTGCCCGTGTCGGCCGCTAATCTGACACGCAGTCAAGCACACCGCCGCCTTCTGCTCCGCGCTCGGTGCCGCATTTTGCTCCCAAAATGCCACTGCGTTTTGCTCGACGATCGGTTTCGCGTTTTTCTCTGCGCTCCGCTTTCGCCACTGCGTTTTGCTCCGCGCTCGCCACCGCGTTTTGCTCCGCGCTCGCCGCCACGTTTGCTCTGCGCTCGTCGCCGTGTTTTGCTCGCCTCGTCGCCGCGTTTAGCTCGCCTCGTCGACGGAACCGCTCCTCGCTTTCCGCGACCTACTTTCCGCTCCCCACTTTCCGCTCATCGCTTTCCGCTCCTCGTTTTCCGCTCCTCGCTTTCCGCTCATCGTTTTCCGCTCCTCGCTTTCCGCTCCTCGCTTTCCTCTCCCCGCTTTCAGTGTTGCCACTCGTCGCGGTTGCGCTCAACACTCTCCGTTCCCCCTGCTTCTACCAATTCGACCCGCTTCCTTCCGCCCCTCGGTCACGCTTACCTGCCCTCCTTCCCCTCACCTCCCTCCCTGTCCTCATGCAAGCTCCTATCTCGAGCACCGCTGTCCAGGAAGGCCCTTTAGGGGGAGAGGAAATAAGCAGCGAGAAGGGGGCGCGGCGGGGTGGAGAGAGGGGGAATAAGCAGCGAGAAGCACGGGGGGAGGGGCCTATGTGGAGGGCCTTCTCCAGCGTGCACTCACTCCTGTCTCACATTGCAGCTCCGGCTCCAAAACATTGCATCCTGACCTATATCTTACCCCTTATTCCCCC